GAAAGGGCACCTGCTGGCAGTGAAAATGACTAGAATCTGCCCTTCCTGTGCAGTGAGTAAATTGAGAGTTCATTTCTACAGGAGATAATAGTTTTCAGATTCCATTTCGTGTATCCCCTGCATGGGGACGTACTTAACATTTAAATCATCTGCAGAGGAACAAACCTCCTTCAAATTTACATGTTTCAGGCTCCTAGCACTTTACTTAAAATGCTAGTTATCCCTGCTGATTCTTACCACCAAGGATTAAACTCAACGGTGGTGAAAGTGACCCAGCACAATAGAATAAAGTTATTAGCATTGACTCAAATTTCACGACATTTGTAGTTTTTGACCAAAGCAGTGGTAGAAGGCTGAAGGTGATCAAATCAAGCCTTGACTGGAGGATCTGATTTTTTTTCTTTTGAGGTCTTTCATTTCATCATTCTTACAACTGCAGTTAACAAACAGACACCAATCCCCACCGGCTTGTAATCATCCTTTAGTTAAATGTCAAAAAGTTATTTCATGAAAACAAGAGAGCAGGAGAGAGCCTGCTATCACACAAACACAGACACTTCCCAGATGGAGACTCATCTCAAAACCCACTCAGGCACCGATAAATACAAATCTTAACTCTGGTTTTTTGGAGTCGAAGTCTGGGGTGACAAGGCCTTAGCAGCTTTCTTTGCCAGTTCTTCCCTTCTAAGCTAGACCTGCCAACATCATTGCCCTTGGTCAGGCTGGTGACACAATTCTTGACAATACTAGAGTTAGAGATGAAGTTGAAAAGAGGACCTTGGATCAGTCTTCCCAGGAAGAGTAAATCATCTACTAAATCCTCTAAGCAAACAAGAGGGAGAGACAGCAGCTGTAAACAATGGGCTAGAAATGATTTTTCAAAAAATAGCTTTTCAATTATAAAGACTGTACTTTGTCATTGTAGAAATATTTGAAAATACAAAAAATTGAATAAAAAGCTTCCAAAATTCTCTCCCTCCTCCCTGTCACAAGTCACTGTTACACATTTTAGCATATTTATTTCCAGATTTCTGCCTCTTTATATAAGTATATGTGTACATACACGTCTAATTCTTGTGTTATGTATACATATACATGTAATTCTTGTTTGTTCTTATAAAAATGGGGTCATACAGTGCATAATGTCTACATCGGGGCAAGTTACTAAACCTCTTGGGGCCCTGATTTACTGATCTGTGAAGCAGTACCTGCCTTGCAGGGTTGCTGGAAGAATACAGTGGGATCACAGACATAAAGGAGACAGTCCAGAGACCAGGGCATTGGAGATGTTCAACAATGGCAGCTATTGTTATCACAGATGTTCCTAACGAAGCATTTTCCTCTCATTTCTGGGAATATAAGCTGCTGGTTTTAAACTAGCTAACAATTTAGCAACCAAAACTTTCCAAGTAATGGAAAGCTAAAGTTGTACTACTTGGCACACAGACAATATTGATTCTCCCAGTTCCACCAATGCCTGAACACAGAAGCCCCTCAGTGTTCCTGTCTGGAGCACAGCATGAAGACTCTTCCAGCGGCAATGCTGGGTTGCCCTTCAGAGCACACGTCCAGGGTGTGGTGTGTATGGGGGGGTGTGTCTCTCTCCACGTGGGGACCCTGAGGCAATGTCTGTGGGAAAGGGACCTGTGTCTGTGTGGGGTCTGCCTGTGAGGATGTTGTACGTCTGTAGGGGAGGCAGGTAGCAGCAGGTTCTGTGTGCTAAGAACAGAGTCAAAATGGGTCCCAGAGAATCCTCAGGAGACAGATCCCAGGCCCAGGTGAAGTCGGTGGCTTTGGACAACTGCTCTTCCTTCCTCAGGGGTGGTAGGAAAGGAGAAGACTGACAGGCAAGAAACGAGCAAGAAACAAGCCTGGGACAGGGAGGAAGGCAGCTGTGGGAACACAGACCATCTAGCCTCTTGCTTCTCATCAGAATGGGGTGAAGCCCATCCCTGAGCCTGGTGCATGTTGGAGAGAAGAGAGCCAGGTGTGAGGCAGGCACTGAGGGTTCAGGCATAATGCAGAAGAGGAGGGAGTACTAAGGTCAGACAGCACCACTTTCTAGTGTATCTTCTCTGCAATGGCATTCAGACTTTCTCTAACAGAATCTGCCAAAGAGCAGATAGAAGATAGTAGGGGTGCCCAGGGTCAGTGGCAAGGCCACTATGGAGTTGGTGAGAGACCCTGAAACAGTTCCTCTCTCGTGGATCTTACCAGTCTGTGTGCAAATAATCTGTTTGTGCACCTGTCTTCTACACCCAATTCTTTGAGGCGTTTTTGATCAAGACTGACTCTCTCATCTGTCTTCCTGCACTTAGCACAGTGCCTGAGACATGGCAAGCTTCAGTAAACATTTGCTGTACTGAAAAAGCTCCCAAGGGTCCAGAGCAAACGGGAAAGCAAAAAAACCAGAAGGAAGTTAGTTAGAAGGTAGAACAGAGAAGGAACAACAGGGGTGAGGGGGAAGAGCATGGCAAAGATACGAAGGATATTTGGAAGAAAAGGAGAAGAGGTGGCCAAGGAAGGAAATCAGAATCAGAGGGGAGAATTTGAAGCCACAGATGTGGGAATTGAGCTTCAAATGGTTAAATGACACACAGTGTGTCAGCCTACTGGGTGGCTCATAGTGCTTTCACTCTTTATAAAGTGTTTTTGTACATACATTATTTTATTTTATCCTGTAAACAATTTAAGGACTAAGTTCCAGTATTTCTAGGCTTCTACAAATAAGGACAGAGATTCGGAGAGGCAAGGTCTCTTGCTCTAAGTTACACAACTGGGCAGTAACGGACCTGAGACAGGGACTCAGATATCCTCCTCTCACCTCTGTCCTAGTTTATGCTACTACATGGCCTCTCTGAGGGAGGGAAGTAACCTTTCTATAGATGACAAAATACAGCAAATGTGAGCTCAGTGGAAATAAGGGGAGGCCAACAGTGTGGATTCTGAAGCCACTGAGGATGGCAGAGAATAGATGGAAAGAAGATGTAGATGCCTAAACAAATGGGCATTAAGACCCTGGAGACAAGCGGCTGACAGTGACAGGGTGGTGAAGAAGGTTCTTAGGTTCTGTGCTAGAAGCCAAATGACCCAGTGAAATTTGGCCATGGCAGTGGGGACAGAAGTCTAACAATCTCCACTGTGGAGCCTGGGAGCAGAATGAGCAGCTTCAATCGGAGAGAGCTCAGCATTCCATAAAGTCCCCAGCAGAATGGGAGACGCTGGAGAACTTGGTACAGGGGAGGGGTCAGGGATATAACAGCCCGGAGGTTTGAAAACACTCCCTGAGGAAAAGAGGAAACCCAAATATTTAATGTAATAAGGTGAATTAGTTATGAAGGGTTTATATCTTTATCCTCTCCTATCTACAATACCTCCTACCTATTCCAGAAGAGATGAAAAATAAAATCTAGACCATCAGTACCTAGAAGTCAACATAAACTGAAAAGAATTTCCAAAATAAGCCAAGGTTTAAAGAGACATAATAAACAAGATGTAGGCCCAGTCACCTGACAAATCAAGGTGAAATTTAAAATAGGCCAGGATTACATTCTCCACATAGTGGGAAACACACTGCCCCTTAATCTCATAAGAGGTGGGAGAAAGGCATGGATAAGAAGACCCACCTTGATAAGAAAGATATATAACAGAGAATTGGACCAATCCACTTAGTGCTATGCATAAGAAAGGGCCACTGATTTTTGCTTGAGAACACTTAGCTACATCTTTGCTATACCCAGGGCTTCTGGGAAGGAGGATGAGCTCAACAGATTCAAATCAGCAGTGACTGTGGAATGCCTTTAAGCTCCCAGGACAATCTAGCTACCTGGGTGAACCTTTTCAGAGATTATTGCAAAACAGGCTAGGGAGACCAGTAAGAATTATGACTGACTTGGACTCATCACTCTGAACCAATGGTAAACGTTCTGAATCATCTGTTAAGTGACAGGACTGTGACCCCTCAGAGGGGTCCTTTTCTCCTGAAGTGCTAAATTTCTGACAGGCAATTAGTGCCTTTCCTATGTACGTACTGTGCTCCCTTACCAACTTCAGCTAACTTGAGCTGTCTGGAGACAATGTCTTTAATCATATTACACTAGAGAAAGAAGTTATTCATAAGGAAAATGGACCCAAATCAGTAGGCAATTAGTGCCTTTCCTATGTACGTACTGTGCTCCCTTACCAACTTCAGCTAACTTGAGTTGTTTGGAGACAATGTCTTTAATCATATTACACTAGAGAAAGAAGTTATTCATAAGGAAAATGGACCCAAATCAGTCACAGTCTTTTCCAGTAGTCTGCTGAAGACAGATAGCGAGGAAGACAATGCTTCTGCAGAAACATCTACTAAGCACCTACCATGAGCCAGCTTTTCTACAGGGTGTCTTTCATCCGTTATCTCATTTCATCTTTATATAATTATGCATTGAACAACTTCATTTTGCAGATGAGGAAACAAAATCTTAAGCCAAGCCACTTGCCCAAGGTGGCAGAGCTGACTCCAAAATCTTCCTTCTTCCTTCCTTCCTTCCTTCTACTGAAACATGTTTCACTGAACAGTGAAATACTCATCAAGAAACTTCAGAAGGTTTTGAAGTCTGGCTTGTGATCCCAAACCACAGCTGAGAGCAAGCCTTAAGGAACATGCCAGGGCATGGCTGAAACTTAAAGACCTTAGGGATCTCAGTTGTTCTTATCACCAATTTCCATTTTGTCTTAGGGAAAAAAGAAACACAACCTCTTGGTGCTTTGGTTCCCCAAACTGAGGAATGGGAAAAGTATTACTTACTCTCTTGAACTCTTCAGATTGACATGACATATATGAAAGGTATTTGGAAACAAAGGGGACATACAATCAGGAGTGGTCTAACATCCATGCCATTTGGAAGTTAGTACTTTTAATTTAGAGTCACCAACTTCATTAAGAAGTTACAGAGCTAACATGCCCAGTTAGTGCCCAGAAAAGCAGCAGCAGAGGGCAGGGTGAGCCGCAGCCTTACCAGCAGTAGTCCAGCAGATGGGGGGGCAGCACGGGGATGTAGACGTGCTGCCAGTACATGGGGTAGAGCATCGCAGCGGCCCCATGGATGCAGGCGGTCAGCTGCAACAGAAGCACAGCAGAGACTCAGAGCTCAAGAACCGAAGTGAGGAACACTGTCCTCTGACTTCAGCAATAAAATCAAATACAATCCCACCACCATATTTAAAATGGTAAACTCAAAAATCTGGAGAAACAATTCTAAATTAATTCAATACCTAATTCAAATTTAGTAAGAGCTTTCTCTTCAAAAAAAATCTATTTTTTTTTTCTGATTATAAAGCTAACGCAAACTTACGGTAGAAAATTTAGAAAATGGAGAAAGATTCAATACCTAATTCAAATTTAGTAAGAGCTTTCTCTTCAAAAAAAATCTATTTTTTTTTTTTCTGATTATAAAGCTAACGCAAACTTACGGTAGAAAATTTAGAAAATGGAGAAAGGAATAAAAGAAAATAAGAGTCACCTCTATCTGAAGATTGTTTAACATTTTAGGGTATTATATACATAAGCACTTATATTTCCTTTTCTGATAAAATTAGGATTACTGTAAATACAGTGTTCTTTTGCTCTTTAAGTTAACATTATTTGATGCCATTTGCCCACGCTTTTAAATATTCTTAGAAAATATATCTTTAAATAATACTCAATGAATTTCCCATAATATATTTAGGTACTCTTCTTTCATTAAGTCATATAATCATAGCAAGTCAATAATTTTTTATATATGGTTCCTAGATGTAGAATTCAAAGACAGAGGTTATAAATATTTTAAGGTACCTAATAAATATAATATGCAAATACCATAAATACGTTAATATAATAAGTAGACGAGGGATGGAGGCTCTTTACACTCCCCCAGCCACTGGTCTCCCTGCCCCTAATCAGTACTAAGCATTGTAGGCAAGTTAGTAACTTTAACATTGGATCTGTCTTAGTTTTATTTATTCCTCTGATCATGACTGAAGCTGAACATTTTTTCATATGTTTCTTGACTATATTTTTTAGGTAAATGGTCTGTTCACATTCTTAGCCCACTTTTTAAAATGAGTATAAGTATTTTAAAAATTGATTTATACACGATCACCAATGATATGTGAAGGATACTAACCCTTTCTAATGTTTTTGAAAATAATTTATCCTTAATTTTCTTTGAATTTCTGGGTGAAGAGAAGGTTTAAATAATTATGTAGACAAATCTTTTCCTTCATGATGGTTTCCACTTGCTTTTATCCTAAGAAAGTCCTCTAATTTTTCTCCAGCTGGATTAAATTTAACTCTTTAATCCATCTGGAATTAATTTAGGTTTAAGAACAGAGGTGAGAATTTATTTTTCCACATTGTTAATCAATTGCTCTGGCACTTTTTACTAACTAATCCTCTCCTTATTCTTTTGACATGCCCCCTATTTTGTATTCTTATTTTTTTTTTTTCTTAAGAGGTAGAGATATCATACAATCAGTATTTGATACAATTAAAATTTTAGAAGACAAAGATAATATAAAGGGATTCAATTTCTACAAAATTCAATATAGTGAAAAGAAGGAAAAAAACCAATCTTTGGAGATATAGCTATGAAGTGACAAAAGCCAACAACACATGTTTCTTTCTTTCTTTTTTCTTTAATGCTTCTTTGGTTTCTGGGAAGCCTGTTCCCATGAGGACTTTGCTTCTTTTGGAAGCTGTTAACTGGCCTTTGCTGACAGAAGGACATTTACGTGGCGAAAGAGTGACGTGCCAAGGCCCAGTTAAAAGAATCCCAGAGGTTAGTGTAACATGAACAGCTTTAAATTGGATATTCTGCTGATGTTTCACAGTTTGTGAGAGCTGTGTATTAAAGCCAAGGCCTTTATTCCATACGAACCCCCATCCCCCATTCCCTCCAGACCCTGTTCCTTAAATCAGGTACATGCCATGAACGGGAGATGATCCAGCAAAGCCCTCAAGAGCTGTTCCCAGCTACTCTGCCAAGGCTTGTAGGTTTAATCCATCCCTTTAACCTCATATAAAGGAAGTTTTCACATATATACATGACTAATCCCTTCAGGGTGTCTTAGAGATGAAAAATCCTTGCTGGTGTTGAATGAGTGGAGAATGAACCAACTTTATGCCAATCCTACCCTGAAGTCAGGCTGGAGGCTTACACTGACCTTGGGCCCCAGCTCTTTCTGCTCATCCTTTAACTAGCTGCCAGAGTGCTCTTCCTAATGTGCAGGTGCAGTCACATCACTTTCTATTCAGAAGACTTTGGGGGCATGTCTGGAACAGGTTGTCTCCACCAGTCCCCTAGAGAGTAGCAACTCCAGCCACAGTCTCTACAGCCTTCTCCAAGTTTTTCCTTGGAATACATGACTTGAGGACTTAGGAATAGTTATGTACTCATTTTCCTCCCTCCTCTTTCCACCCATTCTCTAAACTAGCCTGGATCTGTGTCCCTAGCAAAATCCTCTCTCAGGTCTCTGCACAAGTACTACCTTCCTCTTCGAAGCCTTGCCTGGCTTCCCTGCGCATATGCCCCATTATTAACTGAAGTTTGTCCCTTGACTAGAAAGTATAGAACAACCATGTCTCTCTTAATTTCCATGTTCCCAGTGGCACAGCAGATATATAAGTGCTAGTTAGTGCAATGTGTCCTGAATAAATAAAAAAATAATCCCTACTTAAAATATATTCACAATATAAAATTAGTTAGTGGCTTGGCTTTTAACAGTACTATATCCACATTTTCATGACTCTCACAGTGATGTATATGACTCAAATTCCAAAACAATAATGGCAAGCTTAGACACACAAATACGCTACTTTTGAAAAACCAAGTCATTCATTCATTCATCCATTCATTTAATAATATGCCTACTCTATAATTTGTAAACAGAAATAAATAAAAGCACTTCAAAATCTATAAGGTGCCATACAAATGTACAGTGACATCATCGCATCAATTCATTTGTAATTCTCTTTGAAAACTCATTCAATAGAATTGTCTTGGTTGAGACCGAACTTGATTACCTGACTGTTTTTAGCTTAAATTCGCTTGGGTCAAAATCCATTTCAATTGATAAAGTAGCAGAGATCTTATCTTCAGATAATATTCTTTTCATGTCTCCTTAACCTCAAAAAAATCTACCAAGCTAAATGTCAAGATTTTAAAATTACTTATACCTCATTAAAAAAAAATGAGTTTTTAAAGTGTTTGATTGTTTCATTAGGGGGATTTCTAAGGGCCAAATCTTTGCAGTTGGGGTAAAGTGCATTCACCCATTTGATTAAGAAAACAAACAAACAAAACTGGGAACTGTTTGGCTCTTTTCCAAAATGCTAAATGTCACCAACTATGTGCATCATTACTTAAGAATAGTGGCTAAGCTGATTACAAGAAAAGTCTTACTATATATCTATGCTTAAGCAGAAATAATATATTATGTTCCATAACGTATCACTAGCCATTTATTTAAAAATATTTCTAAACCCCGTTTCTAAAAGTAAGGGTCCTAAAGACCTATGCTCATTCCTTACAGAATACAAAATTCAAGAGTAATGAAAGTATACAATTTAGAGTATCGTCAACAAAGGGGTATTGTGAATATTTAATTGAAGTGCAAGTCGATGAAAATGATCCTATCAAAATCTCACTTGGTGGGAGAATAGAAGGATAGTACGTGTAAAATTTGCCCAAAGTCATTAGTCACAATGAATATTCATCAGAAGCCAATTATCAATCCCATTTAATGACACCCCAAAAGATTTTGCCCTGAAGCAGCTGAATAGTCTAAGACTCTAGACAAAACTAGACAAATTATACAGCCAACAGCCAGTCTAACCAGGACGCAGATTGTACAGTAAACCACTGGTGGGTTTTTGGACACAGTTTAGCAAATTCTGTCCTCAATTAGAGGTACACAAGGTCAGTTATATCTTGGAGCTTTCTATATGGCTCCATTAGTTTTCTTTAGGGAAAAGTGAAGAGGGGAAAGCACTGGGGCTAGGACATGAATGGAGAGGGGATCAATGATAGAGCTGGAAAAATCACGAGGATACTTTTTTTTTTTTTTTTTTTAGTTTAAGGTATTTCTCAGAAATAATGCCCAGACTGCCACAATCTTAGATTCCAATGGAATTAGAAATCAGCTGGTTCCTAATGGCAGCTCTGCAATTTAATATGGAATAAATATAAGAAACCCCCCTCTTAACACTTTTTGGTTTTTAAAACACATAAATGTGTCATTATTTCAAAATTAAATAAATTAATTTTTACAGAAAAAAAAAAAAAGAAACAAAGCCCCTTCAAAAAAAAAAAAAATCCCCAATAGTGTATGTGTCCAGCACCATGCTGAGGGTTTAGGTTCTTGCCATCTTCCCTTTCACATACTCACATAAAGTCTCTTTTTGACCTGAGCAAGCCACTTCCTCTCCTGGGTCTCAATTTCCTCTATATGTAAAATGAGAAGCTGGACTACATGATCTTTGTACCCACTTCCAATTTTGACAACTTATGATTCTAGAGGAATTGCCATCCTTTGACGTGAAGAATGCTCCTCCTCTGCCCAATTTACCTTCTTCTGCCAGACTAACTAAGCTAAGTAAATCGGGGTCCATCTCAAAGTCAGTCTTGCTTTCTCATCTCTGCAGCTAAAGGGCCCACCTGGAATTCATGGGCTATCTGGGAAGCACCACCTTTCAGTCACCCATCTCCATCACCTGACCGTGGAGGGCACAGCCTTCTTCCATGCTTGGCTCCAGATACTCTGAAGATCTCCCAGGCGAAAGATCTTAGGAGACCAGGAGCATGAGACTATGGATGTGAGCTCCTTAGAGACAGAGAACACATTCAATTCCTCTCTTTAACTCCTACTGCGCTTGACAAAGAGCAGGTGGTGGGTAAATGTTTGGGGAATTAAGTTAGAATGCCTTTAGCTTGGCATCGTGAGGAATGGTAGGCAAGATTACCATTTAATAAATTTCAGTTGCTTAACAGATCACAACTAGAAGCTGTAAATTTCCTTTAGAAAGTATTGAGATTGCAAGTTCTAAAGGCTGGCTGAGGGGGAAAAAAAAAAAAAATC